GGTAACCTATCAGAAAGTGGTAGCAATAAAACTAACAAACATCTGCACACCGGCCTCACTCACCAGGTCTCAGTTGAAGAACATTTTTCGGGTCTCGGCGGTTCCGGTCGATTGTCTGACTTGGTACGAAGGTAACTGCAGCCATAAAAACATGATAATAGCTTGTTGATTCATACATGCAGTTTATGGAAACATACTGATACAAATAACACGTTTCCACATTACATTAGCGCCTCAGCTCTAAAGTTCACATGAGCGTCAGTTAGGACGGCACAGACCTGGTGCTAGCTAAAATACCTGTCCAGCAGAATAAAAGCCATCTTTGGATCCGTTTTGATGCCGTATTGTTTCTTAACTTGCTGCCACTTTGTAATCGCTGCGCCGATGGTTATTCTCGTCTTGCTGCGCCTTTTGTCACTTTCCCTTTTAGCCCGCTGGCCTTCCACTGACCTAATCCTTTTCTTCTTTAAGGGATAGTCTGCATTAACTGACTTTTCAGGAGCTTCAGTCGCCATATTTGTTATTCCCAGCGTGATGATATCATAAGGTCACGATATCATCACATCACGTTCGGTGGGATAATTTCCCAGGTCATAGAATATGGTGTGCACTACTTTAGTACTGATGATTCAAAGGCTGGTTTAACTTATTTAGTAAAACTTATTTAAAAAGGTGACATATGGGGGGTTTATGTATAGCTACTTAGCCTACTTTAGCATTAACAGTTGATTACTTACTGGTCTAGAAGAAATGTTGCCAGTTGACCATCAAATTTCATTCCTTTACGCTTCAGGAGCCGCCTCCAGCGGTGGAAAGCAGTACAAATGTTAACTCTTGTTTTACTTCTAAATTGATCACTTTTTTTCTTTGCCTCCTGACGTGGTAGTTTGACGGGAGCAGGTGGTGACGGTCTTTGACAAGAGCTTCAGTCATTGTTGCATTTTGGTAAGAGAAGAGGTTAAAATATGCCATCTGAGCCGTGGTACTTTTTCATCCTCTCATGCTGAACTGTGAGGGCAGACTGGAGATCAGACAGTGATCGCAAAGTAGAAGATAGGTCGGGTCGCGGCTAGCTGGTTAGCATGCTAACTTTAGTAGAGGAACATAACTGATATTAGCAAAACATTGGCAATTACTTTGTTTCTCCCATGTGGCGAGTGGTACCAGAGGTACTCTAACCTTTTGTTGGCGTTGATTTCTGAGGCCCAAGCAGCATTTGTTCATAATATTTGATTCTGATTCGTTTTCCTCGATTTTATGAATCAGTAGGCAGGTTTTGTTACTCACTTGTCTAGCAGGAATAAAGCCAACTAAATGTCGCTTTTGAACCCTCTCGAGTTTCTGAGCTCTCTCCACCGAGTGAATGCCCGTCCGAGGTTCACTCTTGTTTTACACCGGTTTCTGTCACACTCTCTCTTCGCTTTTCTCGCCTCGTCCGACCACCAGGGTCTTTTTTTTTGCCGGACACAGTTTTTGTAGCTACTCCATTTGTTCCGCCGTTCGACATCTCCTCTCCGCTAACCGGGGGACGCTGTTGTGGTTGCACAATGGAAGACGCACTTCCTTTGTGCCGTAAACCGAGACGTCGTTTTCTCGAGAGATTTCGGTGGAGACAGATTTGCTTAGTGAAAACGAGACTTGTGTAGTCATCATTTACTTTATAAAGATAAATTAAAGCCAAAAAATGCATTGCCACATTAAGATTTTGAGTGACTCATCTTTAGACTTTCAAACAAAACTGATGAACCAAATCCCCAACATACTCATGTTGATCACCAAACTCACACCTATTAAAATGCTTATTTCAGTCCATTAAAGGTGCACTATGCATTCCTGCATGACGTCACTTCTGTTGACGTTCGAAGTAAATACCAAACAAAACAGCTAGTTCACGGCGCCGTCCAGCTATCTACTCTCAGAAACTCACGCTACTCTATCAACTCTGCTCACTGCCCCCCCCCCCACACTGCCTCAGCCATTTCCCAAAATATATCGTTGAGTCGNAGGGATGCATAGTGCACCTTTAACTACTAGCATCAGCTAAAACCAAAAAATAATCTCATTGTTGCAGCTGAAAAAAAGACAGTTATACACGTGGTTCTATAAAACATAATGCTGTGAGGTCCAAACAGCATAGTTTTATTGCTCAGCTTTCTGCAAGGGTACAAGAAGTTTATTACATTGCTTCTTTATTTTCCTTATGTACAGGTGTCAGTTACAAGCTCACAGAGCAGCTGATGTGAAAAACTATGAACACGTATACTGTAATAATAAATACAAAACAGGTAGAGAATCAAAAGAAATAAAACATGGTTCAGTTAAAAAAAAAAAATCTGTTTTGTACTGAATTCAATCAAAAGTCATTTACACACATACACACACAAATTTGCACATTAAACTGTAAATTTGTGCTTACAAGTGTGGGGAGAGCTTGTTGTGGTTTGTAACCTTTTAAACCATCATTACAATTCATATTTTTTTTTAAAGAATTGTCAATTTGAGTCAGCTCTCAAGTTGTTCAAGTAAATTAATTAGATTAATCTGAGTAGACAAAAATGTCTTTCCATCAAAGCTTGATAAAGTTAATGACCTGCAATTTTATATTTTTATGTGTGACCAATTAGGCTGCTTAACTGGGGAGAAATGTGGTTTCCCCGTGTCTGGAAATTGCTCAACCCCCACAACTTTTGCACTGAAGACTGAACCAGCCAGAGAACTTGGTGCCAAAAAAAAATAACAAAGAGCAGAAGAGGACTTTGTGCACTGGACAAACATAGATGTGTGTGCATATCAAGAGCAAGTGTGTGTATATATATATATATATGTTATCTACATAAAAATCAATCAGTCCATTAACTATTTGGTAAATAGAAGGAAGTGTCTGATTATAACTTGGAGCCCAAGTATGCATAATGTGTGCAAAAAAACTTGTAATGCATCTCTTTTCTGCCTCTGAGTCGAGTTATTAAAGGTAAAATCAAATAAATTCTCTGCAACTGTACAAAGACAACTATTTCAATGTACTGTGTTTTGTTTTTCTGTTTTCTCTCATGACCACAAAATAAAAAGGTTTTGAGTATCAGCCAATGAAACTGTTCATGGTTGAAAATGCAGGCAGATAAATAAAAAAAAATAAAAATAAAAAAAAAGAACATTTAACTGATTTTTCCAAGTCAACAAGTTTTCTATGAGTAATAATTAAGCAAATAAATAGGCTTGATCTCTCGAGCATCCATTCATGCAGAGGGGTTTTGTTTTTGGATAGAGGCTCTGGTGATGGAGGTGCTCTCCTCACTGCTGCCTCTCTGGTTTTTACTGACTTTGTATTTTGGTTGAACATTTTTCACCGTGTAGCACCCAGGAGTTCAGCAGCAGTCAACCGCCAACATTTGCAGCCCTGAGGATGTGAGGCCACCAACAGCATTCAGACTACTTCCTCGCTTTTAAAATTCTTGTTGCAAACATACTGCTCTTGTGCATATGAAATAATATGGTTGTCTGTGCTGTTTGGTATTCAGTGGTGACACAGATGTCAAGAGCAGCAAATATGGCCTTTGTTGTTCTCCCATGAAGGTATGCATGTCAAAAAGCGAATGTGACTGATCAAGACTCTCACAAAAATCTCACTTTAAACTGCCAAGTTTTAAAATCTATCATGGGTGTAAAGACAAGGCCTGTGAAATATTAGTTTCCATGAAAACCAGTTGTACCCCTCCTCACACACTAGCCTAATAAATGTAAAATAAAAAATTAATAAAAAAAAAAAAGAGAAAAACAAACAAAGAACTTCACCTGAGAATGCAAAGAGGTCTGTGACAGACACCAACATGCTTGCATTTAAATTGAACAGAAAGAACAAGCAACAATATACAAAATAGCTATGTATTTGTACATATATACTCAAAAATTACAAGTGTATAGATAATTTTTACTCTGTATATTTCTAATGTAGTTGTATAGCAAATGAAACATGATATATTTTAATCTAACGTGAAGAACGCACTCCTGCCATCACTGCTCAGTTTGTAAAGTGCTCTAAAGTGACAAGAGAGAAAGAAATACTTCTGCCTTATTAAACTGATGTGACTGAAAATAGACATCTGCCTTGAAAGGCCTTTTAATCAAGCCTGGTCCCGAGGACAGTTGTGCCCTTTTCACATATGATCTGACAGGAAGTGTGCTGAGTTACGCTGGGTTGGATAGAATGAAAAAAAACATGCATACTTGTAACTGCTGGAGACAAATAAGAGAAAAGGAAGATGAACCAGGCTCAAACAGTGAGGTTCAATCAGCTTTGCAGCGACATATACAGGATACTGTGGTAGTAAGAATTGAAGGGGAACTCATTTACAAAATGTCTACCTTCCTTGCATACAAACGTACATTTGTGTACACATGCAGAAACACACAGACACACACACGTTTACAAAAGCTGTGGCCACAGTGTGCAGTGATTCAGGGAAAAAATAAGATTTATGCCTTCTTCTTCACCAGAGTCCGTCCCTCATCTTTGAACAACCGCCACAAAGCTCGACTCTAAAACGCCACAAAAAAATCAGAGCTACTGTACATCCACGTCAGTCTGTATGAGTTCCATTTCAAAATGATACATCCATATTTAAATTATAAAGACTTACAGGTACAAAATGACTGCTGGTATAAAAAAATTGAACTAATTATGGTGTATTTCTGTAAAAATGGAAGATTTTCTATTCCGAATCAGCTACCAACTTTTACAAAAGATGATACATAGCATTTTGGAATGAAACTCTTCAAATGCCAAAGCATTACACTGAGGTAGGATGAATTTGTGGCGCTCCTACAAGATGAAGCACACCAACTCTGCAGCCATGAGGATTGGAAGGTGTATTGGTTGAGGTTAAGATGGCTACCAAGGGCAAGATATGGCTACCTGCAATGTTAAAGATTCAGTAGCATGACAATGATTTAAAAAAAAAAAAAAAAAAAAAAAAAATCAGATCAAATTGCGAAACAAAAGTGACTCACTGTTCTCAAATCCCTCTGGATAATTTTTTTTTTTAAAAGAAACACTTTTGCAAGATACTGAACTGTGTTGATAAACCGCCTCCTGATTCGATTAGATTCAAAGTGAGATGACCAGGCATTACAGGTCTTTTCACCTTTTCTTTTTCTGACTGCCAAGGAAATCGACAAAAGACAAAACAATAACAAAACTGCCCACTCAAAATGATAAAAAACAAAATTGTTTAAAGAAATGCTGCAGCTCATAACAGCTCCTAATTTGATTTCACATGACTACAACATAACAAAAAAGGAAAAAAAAAAAAGGATGGGCTGACTCTCTAGCAGCTGTTCAAACAGATATCGATAAGAGAAGAATTTGGAGAGCGGTGAGAGAAGAGGAAGACTGCAGGCTGGTCAAAGACGTACAAATCAGGCTCTGAGTGCGCCCATCGGCATGTCACACATACAATAATGATCTATCAGAGTCCTGCACACAATGTGTCTCTCATTCCACAGCGAAGCCACAGGTCTCCTCGATCGCCGTCAGCAGCTTATCGTACAGCTTGTCGTAGCTCTCGTAGGGCGGAATGTCAATCCGATTGAAGCTGGAGAGAAGAGAAGGAGAGAGAACGAGTTCACACGAATGAAGCAATGATAGACGGAAAGGCACTCTTTGCCATTATCATGATAAAATAAGCTTGTGTGTGTGTGTGTGTGTGTGTGTGTGTGTCTTGTGTGTGCAAATGCATTATTGTCTGCAGGTGCAGGAGACACACACCAGGTATGGGCTTTGGGCAAATTGTTGGTGTTGGCATCGATCTGATGAATGGTGAAGAGTCTGGGCCCTGCAGCACCTGCAGTCAAAACACAAAGGATCCATCAGGTGCAGTTTAGCATGAAATTCCACTGTGAAGTTACTCACTAACATCTCAGATAATAATCTCTCTGTAATCTAGTCCTCGCTCAACTGGCAATGCCAGACAAGTATTTATCATTCACTGGTCTTTTGAAAAAGCTAAAACATGTTCCTGTCATTTTCTATATTCTAAAGTAAATAATATCTGAGAATGTAACAACATATTTATCAATATATATCCTTGAAAGTTAGTAGAACAGAAGCTGAACCAGAAGTGGGGCAGGACATCTCCGTTCTAAAGTTAGACCTAGAAAACCATTAGGACTGGCTATTGGGGTTCAACTAGAAGACATGTTAACACACACAGAGTTAGATAAATACCCTGCAAAGCCTTGAAGCCTTGCAGTGGGACTCTGGATGAGCCAGTAACAAACTGCAGTAGTCGGGCCCTCCTCTCCTCGTCAAACGACTCCACCGCTTTCCAAAACCACTTGACTATGTTGCTGTCAGGGGTGCAGTGCTTCAGACGGGTGTTGGACTTCCAGTCTGAGATGTCGATCTTTCCCAGGCCACACACTATCAGCTGAAAGTAAGAAACTTAAATATTATTACAAGTTCGTTTTAGGTATTACATCTGTATAGTGTTCCCCAAATTTCCTGTTGTGGAAGATGGAATGGAAGATATTTTACCCATCAAACAGTAAAAATAAAACACAAAGGTAAATGAGTGATCTAGTTTTGTGTGTATATTAAGGGATGATGACAGCTGTGTATACATTACAGTAAACCACAAAGTGATGACTGAGTTTTCTACTGTACCTCCAGTTCCTTCTCGTCAAAGGCTTTGAGAAGGTGTTCAGGAATAACCTCATTGAAGCCTTTCTGCAAGGCCAGAAACTGAGCCTCGATGCCATGCAGGAAACGCCAGTTCACATACAACCTGCAGAGGAGAAGAGAGAGGCGCGATGGTGAAACACAGTTAAATACAGATTCATCATCATGACACTGAATTAAAGGCAATGTGACGGTCTGCAATCCCACTGATAATCAGTGTGAATACGGTGAAGGTGAGAAAGAAATGTTACTTGTTTGGGCTGAATCTGAACTTGGTTGCTTATTGCATGTTGTTGTCACATCCTTGTGTTTGTGTATGCACATGTTCATCCTTCTCCATACCTAACATACTCCTTCTTGGTGTCCTCTGTGACAGGAATACTCTTGCCGTTGGGTTTCAGTTCATGTTGGATGATTTCTCCGTAGGCGTTGTGCTCTACACAGAAAGTGTGGTCCAGGACACCAGTGATGTCATTGTCCCTGAGCAGAGAGAGAAAGGACAGTACATCACAATAGGAATCAACTCTTAACTTCATTTTATCGCACGTATTTTTTAGGATTTGTGGGAACAACAAAACAAAGACATAGAGTAGTAATCTGCAGTATCCTGATCATATGTTTTATTGTGATCATTCTTAGCAGCTGATTGGCTGTGGAGTTTCTACAGGTTTTTGTCATTTGCCGCAATTAATTTGCACTTGCAAATACATTTTTTTTTCTTCATTAACCTTTACATGGTCCGTGATGACTCAGCAAGAATTACAACTGAACAGTCATAAGAACAGGTGACATTATCAAAAGTATAAAGTTTTTGGTCCTGTCAGGATAAGAGCTACACAGCACCCACATGTGATAAACACTTTCAAAACACTGCACCTCACCACTGTGTCAAAAGGTGCAAGAGAGGGACTAAGTCAGCAGGGATGTTCATTTTTGCCAGACATTCATCTGAACCAGCAGCAGAGGGTGCCACAATCATTGGAAATGGTTTGATTTTTGCAAAACATGTGTGTGTACATCTAGTACATGTGCTCTATCCAGGTTTTAATGCCTTTTGTGCATATTATTGACACATTTTCTTTTTTTTTCCACTGTGTATACATGACACACATGTAAATAAAACTTCCTGTGAAATTTTCAATGAGAAGGCATCTGTAAAAATTATTTTACTGTTTTACTGGTACAATGAGAAAACCAGTATAAAGCTACAGCTCATTTACAATAAGTGTTGGGAAACCCTGTATTTCCACTTGTTTTGACAAGAAAATTGATTCTGCACTTAAGTGTTAACAGCAGTAATATGTGTTTTCTCTTTGGGTTGCCAGTGTAGAGAATTTGGAAAAATAATAGGTTGCTTGGAAAAAAGGTCTTACAGAATCCAGACGAGGCTGTTGTGGAGGTCAGGGTCGACAGACTCCATATCGTCCAGCGTGATCGGTTTTCCCAGCAGCTGTTTGTAGAAGGGCAGAGTGAAGCCCCCGTCAATGTAGTGGCCGTGGAACACCGCCATTCCCATGATACGACCCACAAAGTGGAAGTACGACAGGTGCTCCTGCAGATGAAACCAGGGACATTAATATGAATTGGGTATTAATCATACGAGTGTTGATACAACTACAGTACCACAATGCCAGTACCTAAGACGTATAACCACTACAGCATGAAAACTGAGCAATACTGAATTCAATTACCAAAATAAAGTTATCACTATGAAATTTTAATTATAACAACAAATCTCTTTTGCCTTTTTGTATATCCACATAAATTTCACATGATGTCATATAATATCTGAAATCAATCTGACTCTAGCTTGAACATCTGAAGATGTCAGATCAAAATCCTTATAATAACAAAAAGACATTTCACATTTGTGCTTACATCTCATGACTGGCTAGATAGATAAATCCCTATCACATGTCTCTGAGAACTTATGACTATATAACTAAATAATTCCTACCGGGTTGACAGCAGAGTCGGGATTAATCTGTAGAGTGTAGATGTCATCTCTGGAGTACTGGAACAGGCCGTAGTACGGGTTCAGCATCTCATGGGACAGCAGGTACAACCATTCCCTAACACATATGCACAGATTTACTGTGAAAACAGTACTTCAAATAATGCTAAAAGAAGCATAAAAAAAATATTAGTTGACATTTCAAAATCATATAAACAGTAAAATAAATGTGACAAATTACCTTGCTACCCCACCATAGTCCAGTCCCTCCTCTCCTCTGAATTTGATCATCAGTCTTTTCCAGAGATCCTTTGGACGCATCTTCATCACCTGTCGGTACGACTCCTACGATTCAACACATAAAGTGAATTTAATATTTCACAGTACATAAAACAAGACTGGCTTTAATATCAGAGAGCAAGCCTCCACAAGGTAACACTGATTCTGCAGGTGTGAATATGTGTACATGGCGTGTGCAGAAGTGTGATGTCTACAAACATAAGATTGTTATGGGACCAACACACACCCTCAGAGATACCAGGTACCAGGTAGAGACTGCAGGAATAAATGAAAACAGCATTGTCTGTTCAGTTGTGTACGTGGTGTCAGTATGTTTTGGTGTGACCAAGTTAGGAGAAGTGTCATGCTTGGGTTATAGAACTATGGAGGTTAACATGAAGGAATTAATATAGTCATTGCAGATATAGATAGATTTCCTCTTTACAATCAAGAATTTGCATGTGGAGCAGAGGAAAAAAACACACTGTTACAATGGCACAATAGTTTATTTCTGGAAATTAGTAGCATTCAAGAATAATGCAAAATGATGGGGAAAAAATGGGGCCTGTATTAAGACCAGTCTCCCTGGTTTTCCATTTTTTTTTGAATACACACATGTTTTAACAATAAATAAATAAAAATATGATTCCAATGCATCTTGATAATTCTGTTCTTGCCTCCCTTCATCATACCCCTCCACAGTTACAGTTAAACAAATAGTGTGTGTATCCCCTTTTTACATTACATAAGAGACTTCTCTCTGTCTGTACTCTCAGCGGAGTCCAGGACGCGCCACAATAAACAATCTCCTGCTGCAGCAACAGCAGTGCTACAACTGAGAAAGCATAACAGAGCTGGGCAGCACAGAGAGGACTGTAAGATGCTTTTAAACACACAAATTTTACATAATTTATTTGAACCTGCTAACACGGGACTGAAAGTTTCAAGACTCATTTATTAAGTCCTAATAATGGTGCAGATGATGTCTCCTCAGTCACACAAACCAGGCTGCAGGCAAAAGCTGAGACGGAGCTCAGGTATGCATCCGTCTCATCAACATGTTGGCGAGAGGAAAAAATAGTATAAAAAGTGTCCAAAACATTTAAAGCCATCATTGCATTAATGACTGTGACATCATTAATGAATGTACACTGAACGAGACATTGCATTTGTGTTAGTCATATGTCAATTTGTGGCAGAGAACATGCGTAAATAGGAAATCACATTATAACCACTGTAAGTACATGCACACTCGTGTGCACACGCTGCCAGTGGTTAACTGCAGTACTGGTTTCTGCATGAAAACCTCAAGTGGATCTGCAGAGCTGGTTTTCACACTTAACTTTCCCCTTCCACAGCTGTCACGTCGAATGGGGATGAAGTCATATTTTTCATTGCTCCACTTGTAGTTATGAAGTTATGTCTGGCCCCGAACACTTGCCACTGCTGCCTTAGCTCCTTTTCTCACCCGCTCCTTACCCCCCCCTCCCACACATCCCCCCACCGTGCGTTTGAACAGGTGTACCTGCCCCAAAGTCAAACTCCCCCACGCTGCCACTTTCGGTCCCGACGGGTCACGCCCGGACTAGAGCCGGGCGCCAGTTGACATAACCGAGAAAAGCGAGAGCCCGCTCGGCGGGCACGGCGCAGCCCCCACTCCCCGCCAACCCTTTAGCTGCTGAAATCATCTAGAAAGAATGCCTTTGCCTTGGTAGAACAAATGATTGGGAGAGCAACAAAAAGAGAGACAGAGGAGGAGAAGAAAAGGAATAAAGAAATAGTTTTTTGTGGTGTTGTGAAGGCCTTTTTGTTCTGCTTTTTCCTGGAAATCATAAAGCGGTTCTGAGTACTGGTTCTGTGCAGCCCAGGGCCCTTTTCTGGCAAACATTGTAAATGGGGTGAAAAAATGTGAGTAAAATGCAAAGATCTAGGTTTGTCATTGTTTTCATGGATGTTTAGACTTTGCATGTCAGCACATGATCCTCTGAATGCCAGATGACAAATTTTACGAACACATGATCAATGCGCAGTATGCAAATTCATGGTAAATTCTCTGTTGTTATGCATTCATTTGCGTGCATGTGTTTGCGGCTATGTTCAGCTGGCCTTCAGATGTTTCCTTTCATGGTTTAAGGCACATCAGAAATTTCAGGTTAGAGTGTCATGTTTATGAGTATCGCAACTATTCTTAGACAAGCATGTGCACTGCTGACGTGGAACATTTCGGTAAAATTAAGTTTCAAGTGCATGATGGTTCATGATCGGTAAACATGTTACATGTTTATGTTCATTTTGCGATCTAGGTAGCATGACTGTTCTCAAGAGCATTAGTTAGTTACTAAAACAAGTGCATTGTTATCATCTCGCTTGTGTGTTTATCAGAGTGTGAAAGGGTCATCCTTGATTCAGGTGTGTAATACATTTTTGTTTTTATGTTTTTTTTTACCTCGAAAATCTCCTCACGGCAGACCTCGATACGGCAGTGACCAGCCTGGGGTTGTTGCTGAGACAGTTCCTGCCGCAGGATCTTCAGCTTCTGCACCAGATCTCTCTTGTATTTTGGCACCGTCAGGCACTCTGCTTCTTCAGGTAACTGGGCTGGTGACAGAGCTTGCTGGGGGCCCCCAGGACCACCCTGGTCCTTCAACTGCGTCGGATGACTGGAGGGACAAGGTGGTTGAAAGGGAGGTGGAAGAGACGAACAGCCAAGAAGAGATGGAGGGGTAGAAGAGGAATCGGGGGAAATCAACAAGTAGGGATGGGCAGACGAGCGACATGAAAGAGGGAAAAGACAGATAATAGTCATATGTCAGCGTGATTTATCATTCACTTAAACAGCAGTATTGCAGTTTGTCCTGAGCTGCCCTCTCCAAAGGGCAATTTCCATTCAGTGTATTTGCAGCTGTTTACTGTCTCATGGTCACAGGGATATTATTCATGTGCACTGCTTTGGTGGAGGCAACAGATTTATACAAAGATAGAAGAAAGAGGGATATGTCCTGTAGGGAATTCCCCAGCCCCTCCATCTCAAATATCGTCTAACCGCTGAACTAGGGAGTTTTGTAAGAAATTCCCTCCCCAGCCCTCACCCTCCTCACTCCTCTCAAAGCAAAGAGCACCAAACAGAGGACTAAGCCCTGAGTAAATCTGATCCAGACCTGTGGACAGGCTGGGCCTTCGACCAGACGTTTGGTAAATATCACCACCAGGAAAGACAGAGAGAGGGAGATAAAACCTGAGTAAGCAGAGAGAGGGAGACACACACAGAGTAAGAGAAAGGGAGAAATATACAAAAGGAGAGTGGTGTAAGAGTAGCTGGCGCCTCTGGCAAGCTCAACTGGACAGATAAGTCAATGTGTTCTCTTTGCGCTCGTCCATCACGCATTTCTCTCAATGTTTAACCTTAATTTCCTTTTTAATAAATTTCCACCAACCACAACTGGAACTTCCATCATCCGGACACTGAAGCTGCCACCCTCCCTCATACTTTGAGGTGTAGGGGAAAAAAACCATCAACATTTCTGTAAACTTCCAGTCTTGTTTCTGTCAACACAGCACTGAAGATACCTTTCTCCTGGCTACAAGTTATGTTCTGATAAATGTTGAGTCAAGCCACTGCTCTGAGTTCATGTTTGCTTGGCCAAAGTGCAGCCTTGTTTTGCAGCTTTGCAATTTCAAAAACAACAAGGTTAAGTGTGGAAAAGGGTGTGAGCACGGCAGCATGTCTGTCACACAGTGGACCGAGGAACTTCACTTGAGGAACATAAATCCTGACCTTTATCCCTCTTTGCTCTGTTGCCATTCAGAGCCTGTATATTCTAAGAAAGGATGAGATACAATCTTGGCAAAGATGCGCCATGGTCAGTGTTCTAGTTCTGGCCTCCTCCAGCCCTCACTGTGGTGTTGGTGGTGAGACGCCTGGGTGGGCCTCGTAAAAACATAATCCATCTCTCCCTTCAACAGGACAGCAGCCCTCATTTTCCTGCGAGGAGACGCTGAGCCAGCACGGGACTTCTTGAAAAGAAGCTACTGTCCTCCGCTGGGAGTGGAGTGTCGAGGCTGCTGTTGGCCAAACAAAGGCGGCACACCAAGAGGCCTGAACTGGTATATAAAGAAAGGAGAGGACTTCTAAGGTAGCATAGCCACCCACTTATTCCAACACTCATTGTACACTTGGGTTCTCCGGTTCAGTAGGTTGAAAAAGGCCTCATCTATTTGGGCTTTCCAAACTAAACGGGTGCAGTGTTTCACCAGTCTATCCCTGTATAATCAAGTCTGCTGCTATTTATTTTATTGGCAGGCGCTGGGGCTCCTAGCATGTCAAAGAAAGGGTAAGACTGCAGCAGAGCAGTCCTGAAAACCACTTTAGGAAGGAGGAGGGGAAGAAAAGATGACCTTAAAACAAAATGGAATGAGTTGCTTTTGGCTGGGAGGCTCAAGAACCATATAATAAAGCGTAATTTCAGCGCACTTTTTTCTCCTTCTGAGGGCACAGTGTAATTAAAAATATGTTTCGACATAGTTCATCGTCTCTGGTTTCCAAATGGGACAAGCTCCGCATATTTGATGGTAAATATAGAAAATACAAGCACAGCAAAGTTGAAAATCTGCCCGGGCCGAAAGAGAGAAATGGTTCCTATTGCTGTGACAGCTTGGGTGAAATACGACGTTTGGGAAGAAATATAAACTTTCAAATTCAATGTAAGAGCCAGAGGATTTTATTATTGTTATTCCAAGGTAGAAGAAGCGGGAGGAAAGAGGCTGAAGAAGTCAAGAAATGAAGGGGTGAACATTTTTCTGAACTGGATCACCTGCGCCTGAACCTGCAGAGTCATGATAGGCCTCCATCCTCTTTCTGTGTATGCAGGGAGACAGACTGGGTGTGTGTCAGGTGAGAGAGTGCATGCACAAGAGAGAAGTCTGCATGTATGTTTGTGTAAGACAAAATATACTTGCTTCAATTCTATGGCAGCCGGCACAGGTGGGCTGAAATGAGTGTTGAGTAAGTGTAGTGGTGTGAAAGCCACACCAGCCACCACAACACACCCACTCTGCCCCCCCACCCAACCCAGAGAATCAAAGGGTCCTTTATAAGTCGATCTGCTCAGAGTATCAGCTGGTGCCCTGCTCTTTACATTTGCCTAAAAAGCAGGAGAGGGCAGAGAGGTCGGCCAAAAAAGTGCCACTGCTGCCGACTCTGCAGAATGTAGAGTCAAAGTGTGTATATATGTGTACAGAAGTATTTACTTAGATAATATGTGTGTTTTGCCAGTAAAAGTGTGACCTTTTACATTCTTCCCAACTGCCAAGCTCTCACATCTGCACACTTCTACTTTCTCCAAAAGTACATGAAGTACAGGAAACCAGCAGCAGACAGACTGTGATGATGAGACTGCCTACTGACTAAAATATGTTGCATCTGAAGACACTTTCTGAGAATGAAAGATTTGCAAAATTCTGCCATTACAAAAAATAAGCTGCTTTCTCCTGTCATTTGATTTTTTATGCACAATTTCCAATGAAAAATATCGCTAAAATATGGTAGACTAAGCAATATATTGTGTGTCTAAATAAAACAGAAGTCATTTGTTAGGTGTGAAATTATTTTTTTGTAGGAATTTAAGCTTTCATCTAGGCTGTCCTCTTCTGTTCACTCTTTTACAGACTGCCCTTTAATGCACCACATACAGACAGAACATTTATCCTGCTTTATATACTGTTTAGACAGCTGGCATTTACTGTATCATCAAGTCACATGTGAGGTTTATAAAGTACAGCAGAAAATGTCAACTGCTGTACATACTGTAGATATACAGTATACATTGGATTTACTGCTAACCCAATAATTTGCTTTTATATTTATCTTTCACAGGTTAAATATACCACACACCCATAATGTACCAAGTATAATCATCACTTTTTAAACATAAATGCAAATATTGATATAAATGTCATGAAAATTTATACCTTGGTTGGAAAAAATACCTGCTGATGCCCACTAAACTTAAATGCAGAGGCAACTAAAAATACCTTCAGCAAACACTGATGTAATCTTTCAGACATATACTATGTGCTGGTGCAAGGGAGGAAGTCAAGTATGCGAGAAACAGTGTGGCAGACCACAGTAATGTAGCTGTGTCTGACTGTCTGACAATTCAAGGCCTTCATCAGTCTGAGGTTGACGGCAACAGGACCGTCTGAGTCACATTTAAACCAAGATGTGTCCTGGAGGATCAGTAGGCCGAGGTGCAAACTTTAAACTCGTTGTTGTAAAATCAAATTTGTTCCACGCCATCTAATCTTGCAGACAAAACACAAACAATTTCTACAGATGAGGGGTAAAAATTACACCCACTAAACAACAAAATGGGTTAAGGTAAAACTGCTAAGCTCTAGCTACCAAAAACGTCTGCAGCTTTTTAAACAGTACAGTACACAACAGTATCTGCAAGTTTGATACGTTATTTGTAAAAAAAAGAAAAAAAAAAGGTATCATTAAAAAGAATACATATGGTTAAAGCAAAGACAGGGAAGCTTTAAACTGATTACATTTTTTTAAATTGCTGCCCATTTTGCCTGATTTGAACAAATACTAGGAGGTAGTGACAACACCAGCTGCACTTATATGTGACCCTAAAGCACTGGCAACCATCCTGTCTGACAACTCAGCAACCATCAGCTTTCTCCAGTAGAAACAGAATTTCATTATTTAATTGTTTCATTGACATCTCTCTCTTTTCAGGTCAATGCTGACAGTTTGGCTTACAGTAGGTTTTTGCTTTAAGTCAACACATTGCTTTTTGTTCACGCTCTCCTGATTTAATCAAAGCGAGTTTCTCTCCTGCATCTGTTATATTTGTTTGACTGACTGACGTTGTTTTCTCAAGTGTCAACTGCTATATTTTATTCTTTTGATAAAATTTTGTGCCTGTCTGCCAGAAAACAAAAGAGAATGCACATTAAAGAGAGAAAGATGCACCCCAACAATAATGAACACATCCTCCAGTGGTATAAAGGGAACAGCAATCGACAGCTCAGTGCTGCAAGAAAAAAAAGCTATGCAGATATCTAAATAAAAACAAAGATTTTCAGTTTCCTTTTGATTTTTTTTTAAAACCCCCACACATCAGGTAACATGCACTCAGCTCATCTTAACATGCCCCCCCACCCCATCCCTTCAATCTCCCAATATGAAAACAGGTCAACGCAGTGATGCATTATAGCAGGGTCATGGTGTACGTATGTGCATGTGTGTGTGCACGTGTGTGTGCAGTGGACCTATGCGGATGTTGGGTGAAATATTCTTAAATCCTGGCATTGATAAAACACAGATGTCCTGACACCGAGCCAGCAGAGAGGCTGATAACTTTAACAGTTTTTGGAGCACAGAAGAGGGCGGGGGGCCGCGGAGACAGAATGAGTGAGGACAGAGGAGATGACAGGAGGAGGGAAGTGTAGAGATTAGAGGGGGAAAAAAAATTAACAAGGACAGTAGGGAAGAAGACAGACAACACTTTGACTGGTTGCACTGGTTCCTCTTTCTACACCAGAAGCCTTATAAAGCTGAGGATAAGGTATAAAAAGGTTAACACGTCCAGGAAATTGTCAACTGTTCTCATTTTCACACATCGGGTACGTGCATGTACAGTATGTGCAGAAAGACTGTTGTCTCCTCCATGCGTCTCCACATGTGGTCTCTGTATTCTGCTTGCTGTTGTTTGTTAATGCGTCTGCTGTCAGTCACCCTGGGTGTTTAGATTCGAGCCTCTCAGCCAGTAAACAATCCAACATTACGTCTGGATTGTTGAGACCATTTAGCATGCCCAATAAAATTTAGTGTTTCAGAGCCAAAATCAGTAGGCAGTCTCATCACCACAGTCTGCAATACACTAATCTATTTGAATTCTTTCTCTACCGCTCTGAGAAAAAAGAAACTTATAAATAATTAAATAATGTTAAGAGGATTTTTGACAATGAACCGAAGTTACTTTTCTGATACCGATTTTTTCTGGTATGATGACCTCCTGCAAAAAGAGAAGTATTCAGCAGAAGTGGTTTTGACAGTTTTTGGTTATGGGTGTTAAAAACAACAAGAGTCAATCAGACCACTGCTGCTCAAGAGATACTATTTGAGTTTGAGTTTGTTTGCTTTTACATTTGGCCTTTTACACATTTACACAACCTTTTAAGATAAAATAATTAACAAGGTGATTTATTGATCACATTTCATGTTCTAATTTTGCATTGCTTGAAATGCAGCTGATTTGGCTGGTAGTCTTAAAGCCACAATAAAAATCTGATTTGCTTGATTATTGATTAGCCTTATGTCAAGAATCTAAAATAGAAGAACTCCAAATTTGGCAAAGACTTCTGTGCGTATCTATTCAGATATAGGCCAAATAAAGTGCAAGTGCTTACTGTTGTGACATGGACTGTATGTAGAGGGCGTTTTAATTTTGTTTTCATTCAGTTTGTATCAAGGTAAGCTGCATTAGAAATTAGAGCTTGTTAATTTTGACCTTCACAAAGTTCTAAAACTCTGTCTGGACTCTCTCAAATCTCTCCTAATAAGGAGTCAGACAAGCAGTTAATGATGCTGACTGGATAACATAGCTGAGCTTCAACTCACAACCAGGGGCTATTCTGACACATATGGATACTATTTGACCAAATGACCAGATGTTGATTTCCCAAACATGTCCATCGTGCCAGCAGCTGTTATTGCAAGAGGTTTTGACAAAGAATTTGTACTAAAAAAAATAAAAGGAAAAAATCTCCACATCTCGATGTTCCTCTTGCTCTAGTGATTTCTACCTCATACACTGGCAGACTGGAAGTAAAGGGAACTACAATACAGCAAAAATACCTGAAAAACAATCCAAGAATTTAGTTTATCATACTTGTTTTATGAGATTTATATAACACAATCACAAGACCCTCCCCCATTAATATCAGAGACTCTTTCATTAGCCGTCAGAGCTAACATACTGCTGATGTTTTCATCCAATGTGTGTTCAGTGAAGCTATGAGAACTGCTGCTAAGCTAACAGCTGCTGTGCTAACACGTGTTTAGTATTATTTTCCCTGGTGGAGTCGGCTTCATCAGGCCTCTCTGCTGGCTTAGCTGGATGCGAACTGGGCTTCAGCGAAGGCTGACTGCTGACAGGGAGCACAAACACACTGAAAGATGGACTGACAACCACCCCCCCATACGGACAGCCACAGTTAGGGGTAGTGTGTGTGTGTGTGTGTGTGTGTGTGTGTGTGTGTGTGTGTGTGTGTGTGTGTGTGTGTGTGTGTGTGTGTGTTGAACTTGAATGACATCCTCAGGGTTGAAAGTCATCTCTGAGGAAGGTTACACAAAACGTGCACATACATACATAAACACACACAGACTGGACATTCCCAGGTGGAGGACTATATCGCAGTCAGCATTTTTTCTTTATGATAGTGTTTGTGTGTGTGTGTGTGTGTGTGTGTGTGTGTGTGTGTGTGTGTGTAGCTTTGAGTGACTGGCTGCTGAAACTGCTTTATACAGGCAGTTGGGATGAGAGTATGAAAATTTCTGTCAGCCTGTGAGTGCTGATTGCATTGTTCACATGTACATTTGTCACAGACCATGTGCAAGTGCGCGTACGCATAGACAGTATGTTGCCTGCAAGCAAGTATCTGAGCGCACATTTGTCTTCACAAATATCCTCGTATGTGTGTGTGGGTTACCTGAGGTTAGTGTTTTGGCTGTCCATGGCCACACGGGAACCATTTGGACTTGGGCTGTTGGAGAAAACAGGAGGGGAGTAAAAGACAGAGAAAGACAAAGAGAGAGAAAATGACACACAAGAGAAGGTGAATGACAGAGAAGCATTGAAAACAACAGGGACAGTGAGACAGGACAGATAGGACAAAGAAAAAGTGATTCACAGGAGACAAGTGAAAGGACACAAAGAAACAGAAGGGGAGATGAGAGAAGAAAATGAGGTAGAGGAAAAGCAGAGGAAATACACAGAAGACGGAGACATAAAAAACACAAAAAGGCCAAAACATGGACAAATACAAAGAGAGGAAATGGATGAAAAGACAACAGAGTTGGTGAGAATGACGGAAAGTGGACAGGAAGGAGGAAAAATACCATTGGCAGATACACAAGACAGAGGATAGGGGAATGGACAAACAGAGAAGAACAAAAATATAAGGTGAGATGAATAAAGCGAAGACATTCATCTGTGATTATCTTACATCAGACATATTCATTGCTGGAGGATTCATGACTGTAGTGTGCATCACAGGTTCCCTAACAGTTTTCCCCTCATTTCAGGTTATTCCAGCATCCCCAGACAGGAGTCATCACGTCCATTTCCAGGACGGATAGTGTGAGTGTAAAGCTACTTTTAAAAACACTGCGTTTTTAACCGTCCTTGGCAAAAAATATGAACAGAGCGGAGGGTGGCTCCGAATCTCATCTACTACGAACAAAAAGCAGGACAAAATGTTTGACTTGTTTAAGAGCCCTGCCTAAACATAGAAGATGCATCATCATTGACATAATATAAACATTAACACCACTATGTGTGAAAAAATCTGATTATTTGTTGTATAACATTGAAGTGTTGTTCTGTTTTCTTGTCCAGTTCATTGCCGCTACTAAAATCTCACAGTCAGCTCCTCAATACAAACATACTCTTTAGAGCTGGAAGCAGGGTATCTGGCATCTTTTAGGATCAATTGGCTTCAAAGTCATAATCCCTTGATTGTTGTTTCACTGAAATTATTGTTGTTGTTTTGTTCACCACTAGTTTGAATATTCAGGGTAGAGGGGATTGTTAACTAAACAAAGCAGATGTAAACATACAGATTTGCATGTAGCAGCATATTTGCATTTCTGTTTTAGGCTGTTATGTATACACTATATTTAAGTAGAAAGATATAAATAGTGGGACAAAAAATAACAATTTTATTTGTCTTCGGTAAGACAGATGTAAACCACAGCCAAGGTAATCTCCTTGAATATCCTGCCCTGGGGGCTAAAACACATTATTAACTGATACACTCACTTGAGTACAAGATGCAGGTTAGCAGACAGTCGCGGGTCTGTGAACTGTGTTGTTCGATTGTTGTGGTCGACAAAGTAGACACGGCCAGTGGCTGTGTTTCTGATCTCCCAGCCTGGTGGCAGTGGGCCAAGCTCCTCACAGTTCACATTGCTTAAGTCCCTGAACAAAATAATTAGAAGCCATTAGCAACAATGACACTACAAATTAAATGCAAATCTAAATTAAACCATAGAAAATACAAACATACATACTGCATAAAAAAGCAGGCCTGCAGACCAATGACCATCATACTCTCAGTAGCTTTGGTACTTCATGTACTACTATATAACTGAATGGACTCAGTTGGGAGAAAATTAACATGGATAATTGAGGAACTATGTTATTAACAACACTGAACCACCTCCTAGGATGTTGATTACTACAAGAGTTACTTAAATCCATGTCCTTTGTGGAGTTCAGATTTTTATGTATGTCCTAAATGTAAGAGAACATGCTGATGAACCTCATGCTGATGTCTTTCAGCAATACAAGTGATTGACATTAACATTTACATGAAGCTTCACAAGACTCAGTCAATCAAAACTCAGGACCACAGCCTTCAACAGGCTCAAGAACATCAGCAACATTAACGTTGCCATTATCCTTCTGCCAAAGTATCTGCTCTAATTTGTTGATTCTCTTTCTGTCCTGTACACTGACATTCCTGTCAGTAGAAGTCCTGATCTGGGACAACGCCATAGCCTAGGGAGGTCTTGTGCCTTTGTGAGTGAGTGTGTGTGTGTGTGTGTGTGTGTGTGTGTGTGTGACTACTTTGTCCTTGTGTGAAGTAAGGACACATCACTCAGGGACAAAGTACATGCCTTGCTGCACTCATCACAACATACTGGGTCATTTTAGAAGCTCTGTCCAAAATGACCAAACCCAGAGTTGCTGCTGTAAGTTGGACGTTACACGCATGTGCTTCATCACTGAGCAGCAGCTACACCGAGTCATGGCCAAAACTGTAACGCAATCGCACCGCCCGCAGTCTCTGGTGAATTAACTAGTGGACCACTGAGAGTTGGTGAACAGTATGATTGAATGCAGAACCACTGGCCTGGTGGTGTTCAGCTCAACATCTGTCCAAAAATTTTCTTCCAGCCCAACATCGGACTCAGAGGTCATTAGTTTGGCTGACCCTGACTTGAGCCTGAAATTTGACTAATAAGACTGTTTTTGAACACAACCCTGAGCAATTAAGTGAGAAATTAGGTCTGATCCAAACCAGTCAAGACCACTTTGGCCCTGTCAGTTTTGGGAATATATGTCAGGTTTTATATTAGGATTAAAACAATACAGGCTGTCCACACGGTGGTTAATTCATCATGTATTTAACTCAGTATGTTTTTAATTCTGAGATAATTGTGCTCATATTAAGAGCTATTGGTAACATTTATGAAAAGAGACTTGCTAAAAAACCTAAAAAATTTGGACAATAACCATGAAAAATATACAAGGATAAATGCACAAAGGTGTTACCTGGGTACCCGGGGGTCATGCCAAGTGCTGACTCCAGTCTGCGTGTGGAGGAAGTAGACCTGGCCCTGCTGAGTTGTTCTTTGCTCTAAAAAATAAAAACAAAAAACAAAAAGAAATTTGATTTGCATTAATATGTCAAAAGGCAAAACAGCAGTGAAACAAGCTTGGAACTGTTTATGGGACTGTTGTTCTGTAGTCTAGTTCAGGTGGGTACAAGCACGGATAACGAGTTTGTATATTTTAGAGAAGAGGAAGTCTGTTTATAATTGATGTGACAGGCAAACTGCTGGGACAATGTTGAACTAAGAGTTTCTTAAGGTGTGTGCCAATGTAATCAATTAGTTCCTCTCCAGTCTCCAGTAGGCCTATCCCAAGAGTGTGGGGAAAATAAAATGTGAGGGGAAATTTATCAAAGACTTCCATGAGTGTTTTTCCTTGTAGAGAGTTCCTTGATGCATCCTAGTTGCCTTGTTTTCTCTTAAAGGTTAGTGTGTGTACTGAAAGTCCATCCACTCCTATTAATCTCCAAAACCAAAGGAAATGGAAAGGAAAATGCTGTCATTCATGCCAAACCCACTAATATAATATACTGTAAACAAATAAGGGAACTGAGGACACCAAGATGAAATCTGAGGAGAATGGTTCTCATTTGTAATCCGTCACTGACTTGTTGGACCTTTGGTTCCATCCAGCTCATGGATGAATGAAGAGTGAGTGTGTGAATGTTGGCACAAAGTGTGTGCGCCGCACGGGTGTGGTGTTCATGTGTGTATGTTCAGCCGCTAATCCATCACTACCCCCCACCCCAACTTCCTACTGGCACAACTCATTTCCTACCCACCTCTCCCTGTCTTTTTTCCTCTCACACATTCCCCCTTTCTCTCTCGCTCTCTCTCACGCTCTCTCACCACACCCAGCCACTGGTTCAGAGGGTTCAGCTGAGGAAGAAAGCTCTCTAGCTGTTGGGCATCAGTGACTCATTTTGTCCGACCTCGGCCAGCCTCAGTGGACACAGCAGGACATTTCAAAGGGGGCACGGGTCCAACAGTGCCATTCTAAATCACTGGCATACAGCCCCACACTTAAAATAATAATTTATTTTACAGACTCTGTGGGTATTGTGGGGTGCACTGTGGCTGACTGTGAAAAGTGCACTTTTAGGAAAAAACATTCAGATGTTGGAAAATGTACTTGCTTCTGCATTATTTTCCCAATGTGTTTGAATGCTGTAAGTAAGGCCAGCTTAAGTAACACGGTACAATAAAAAAAATAATAACCAGTAACTCAAAGTGCCTTTTCTGAACTAAACACCAAGCTATGAATACTCTGTTTTCCCTCCATCTCTTCGCTGTGGGAATATCAGTCTGCAAAGCCAAAACATTCCAACAAACAGGAGAGGAGAGGAAAGAAAAGGAGAGGAGAGACAGACTATTAACACACAGCAAGAGTTGAATGCAGTTGTTATGATGTGGTGTTGTGGGAAGGAGGGAAAGGGGAGGTCGAAGGGGATTAACAGAGAAAACGTGAGTGAGCCCAAGGATAGAGCAGGGAAACAGACAGAGAGAACAAGAAAAGAGGATACAAAGGGCCTTTAAACTTTCTTCTCATCATTAAAAGGAAAAAAAAAAAGCCAAAAGTATAGTTAAAAGTATCACTGCCTCCAGGCAAAAAACAAGATAGAGCCAAAGAGCAACTCACCGTGTCTTTGATCTGTGTATCTTGTATTTTTGAGGGTTATGTCTGGGACATCACCTCATCAGTAACTATGGTAAATATAATGCGATATGGCTGCAGCTAACTGATAGCCATCCCACACACTCCAAGATGTTTGAAAAACAAAATCTTCAGTTTAGCCACTGTGGGATTTGATCGCTCTTATAGTTAAACACTTTTTGAAATATTCTACATCAGTTCCGTGCGGAGCTGACCGGCTAATTGAATGACTACAGTGGGACAATAAAATGTGATGTCATAGACACTGCCTTTTTTACCACAGTATCCTCAGTGCTCACTATGATGAAGATAGAGAGTGTGTGTGTATATGTGTGTGTGTGTGTGTGTGTGTGTGTGTCTCTCACCATAACCCTCAGGCAGGTCAGGTGGCGTATGCAGGTGTGTCCGACTCATGTAGTTACGATGCCGCTGTGATCTAACCCGTCTCTCCTGGATCCGCTGTTCGCCTGGCGGGCCGCTGGCCACTGCCCCATTAACGGGAGTCATCACTGGTGTGTTCTCGTCCACCACGCAGCTCAGCGGACGCCCTGATGGGCTGGAATACTCTGACGCTGGCCTGGGAGAGAGCAGAGAGTGTACATGTTCATGTTTATACATGCTCAGGCCATGGTCCTATCTGTGTGTGTTCTTCTGAGTGTAATTTTAAGCTTGTTTCCATTTTCACCCCCATTTTCTAGTTATAGTTTCTAAATATATATATATACATGTTATACAGGTGAAGCATTTTAATAACAAATCGGAAATATTGTACACTTCAGATTGTAAAGAGCTTTTTGGCTAAAAGATACCAACTTTCTTGCTGTGAGGTGGATGAATAAATTGACAAGAAGAACGTTATTGTTTGTTTTCATTCCTAAGAGTTGCATGCACGGTGGAGTGTGTTAAATGAATGAGTGATAAGTGCTTGACTTTTGATTATGGTGAATGTATGTGACTGTCTACCACATTTCTATCCACTTGCAGGAACCTGGGTGTTACTGTGTGTTAAAGGTGTTCTGGGGGTTAAGTCTTAGGTGTAGCAGATTTAATTCTTCTGGTGATGTCTAGACGTAAACGAAGTGTAATTATTGGATAACAGCTTGTGTCATCAGTCCTCAAGGGGAAAATGTATTTCATGCTTATGGTTAAGATTTAAGTGATATGGATGATTATGGGTTGCATAAGAACAGACAAAGTCCTTATAGACTAAGGTAGAATCTTAAAATGTGCTTGTGTGCTACTGAACAGCAGGACTTCTAAAGCAGATTTGTAATAAGCAGACACAAACACAGGCATGTTGGCTTACTGACACTTTCTGTGTGTGTTTGTGTGTGTAGCATGTCTGACCACTGTCTGGCTGTCCGGAGTTACTGACGCCTTGGCTATCTAAAACCTTGGACCCTTGTCTGTCAACCCTCAGCCAACCTGCCCCCCCACCCCCTCCACACACTCTTCCTCCCATCCATTTCCTCTGTTTCCACGCTCATTTAATTCCCACCTCTGTCTCCTATTTCCCTTGTCCTTTCTTCATGTTCTACCACTTTTCCCAATCTGAGCCAGTCTTCCCTACTCCTCCAAAGTGTCATCTCATAGCTCATGGTCCAGATTTGTCTTCAGTCAGGAGCAGTGACAAAAGCCAGTGATGAATAGTGTTTAGTAAAAACAAATGGTTGCAATCTAAAACCCATCTGCATAAGAAAAAACAAATTCTGGAGGAGGGACATACAGTTTTATAATATTCCCTTTCGTTATTTGGTAGGTTAATATGTAATGTACTTGCCGACCTAGTTACCATACAGCTCTTTCTCCACTTCACTCACCTTATCATCTTGTTCATTAACCCTTTCTCTTCAGCCACTCTGTCATTTCTTCCTCCTACATAATCCCTAACTGCTCATCTTCATTCTTAACATCATCTTTTCCACCTCCCTCTGTGACCTACCACTTAACCTTTTCCTCACCATTTCCCATCTGCTGTACCTTGTTCTGCTATGCTGCCTGGGGGGAGGGGTTGTGGTAAGAGTGGGTGAGGCTGTGTAGAACTAGTGTTTTTTTGGGGTTTTTTTGCATAGTACCCTAACGGCTCCACTGATATGGGCCAAGTAGGAAGGCGACAGTTGTTCTTGCAGGAACAGGGGCCAAGTAAAACCTGGCTGCCCGACTGGCTGGCTAGTTTATTTAGGTGTGTGTGTGTGTGTGTGTGTGTGTGTGTGTGTATATTGCAGTGGGGTGGGGGGCTAAGGAAACTGACAGCAATTCATCCATTACCGACAGACTGTTATTGTTGTGAGTGGAGCTGAGTGGAAGTCTTTTTTCTGAAAAGGGAAGTGGAGGAAAGTACAACCGCTTAAACAGACCCCCCCCCCCCCCCCGCTTTTTTGTAAAAGGTCAAGTTTGTTGTGGTTTACAATAGTATGACTGCTGAGCTAAAGGCAGGAAGTAGAATATTTGGAAAGCTCCCATTTTAACATGGCTCACTTTTATAAAATTCTACATCATTGAAGTCATAGAAGGGGATGTGTGCGTATGTGTAGACGTACCTGGTAGGTCTCTCCCATTGTGTAGTACGTGTGATGTGATTCAGGTACTGTATCCTTCCAGAAGCTGTCCTCCTCTCTTCCCAGCTGTTTCATGACATATTAAGACAAACAGGGCAGATGCATCATACTTGTTATAAAGCAATATCACAAATGGAAACGAAGCAAAAGAAACACTTTTGTCCATGTTGGAGAATCATCGATAGACATACAAATTAATCTTCTAAATCTGTCAATTTTTTTAAAAACACATCAAGGATTAAAATATATAAAAGATTAAACAACACATCAAATCATTTATTAAAAAACTTAGAAAGAAAAAACTGGAATAATACTGACCCATCAGGCAAATCATTGTCGAACAGACGACTGCAGTCCACCACTGGCCCTCCTGTCCCGATGCGATCCCTGGACTGAAGACTTACTACACAGTTAGGAAAGACAAAGAAGATTGTAGATCAATAACATTTTCTACCAATAGAGCTTAGATTAGGATGACCAATATTCACTGTATTTAGCATTTTGTATTAAGTGCCTATGGCAGGTGGATTCCAGTTCCACTGATGTTTTTATACATTTGTCTTGCTTATATTCTCCATGTTCCCTTTTCTCTTCTGACATCAATGCAGAGAAAAGCAAAAATAAGAAAAAAAACTCCTTGTTTCATAGGTAACAGATTAAATGTATCCTTGTGTTTTTATATTATAAAACCATAGAAATAAAGAAAAATCCTCTCTGTGGTTGAGTGGTTAGGTAATGAACTGAGTCAGAGTATTGAGACAGGCTATGCAGTCTGGGTCAAGTTGTGTTTTGTAATGTTTAAATAATATAATGGACTGAGACATCAAGAGCTGCATTTGACACAAACATTGGTTCAACATTTACTTTCATAATATCCAATACTGAAAAATGTCAACTTATGTATAGTTAATTGAGGACGATTTTGCTATTTGCAATAACAGAACTCTCTGTTCACATTTTGTATTGAGACATCTAAAAGGAGTAGTTCCAGCAGTATCTTTTAGCTGTTAATTACTTCAGTGTTTTCAGACAATGTAGCTGAAAGTATCCACTGGAACGTCTGATTACAATACTGCACATACACTGTGGTTTTATTCGATGCAGAATTCACACACATCTTCATACAATATAGTGCAACTGATGTTGCATTTCTTACCTACTATCTGCCCTCTCACAGTGTCATTGTCATTGGGGCCCAGTTTATTCAGGTCCAGTCTCTGATCTGCAGGGAAAAAAACAAAAACAAAACAGAAACCATAGATTTAACATCTGTCCATCTGTACAACCATGACCACATTCAGGCACTAAGATGCTGTCTAACCTTTAGATATTTACACTAAGTGACTGAGTGTTCAGATCAAAAACATTGTTGTCCCACACAGTCGCACAACTCCGAGGAAGGTGTATTGATAAACAGGCTTCTATTGCGTACTATAGGGGTATACTTTAGTGTTAAGTATTTTGAATGTCTCATTTATCTATAAAGGACATTTACATGTATTTAATAGTGCTGCAACTTATGAAAGGAGGTTGATTAGTTCAGAAAGCCCAGCAGTGTCATTACCAACAGGGACCAAATTGCCTAGTGCTGGCAAGCTTTTGGAGCCTTTATTTTGTTCAAGACATCACTATTGTCAAGCTAAGATAAACTGATTTATTGAAAATTCACCAATGCATAATTTAGTTGGGATATACTAACATAGCCAGGCAAAACTGTAATATAATAAATTAAATCTCCATGATATTGCGACTTTAAAATGTTAAAGAAAAAAAACAAAACACACTCTACTCTGCAGAAGAAACCCCTCTGCAGCTTTTCCATTTTAGTGTGAAAAGATTTAAATATAGAGACACCAAATGTCATAAAATTTTGACATAAAATTTCTTAGCAATCTTGTTGTTGTTTCTGGAAAAGTAAGAACTCATTGTCTGCTCAGCACAGGATAGCACTGCCAGACACAGACAGCATAGGAACATAACCCAGGAAGACTCTGAACAAGATCCAGACACAGATACACTGCAGTCTCTTTCTCTCACACACACACACACACACACACACACACACACACACACACACACACACACACACACACACACACACACACACACACACACACACACACACACACACACACACATACCCCTCCCGCAGGGAGATTTGTGCATGGCAGTCAAGCTGACCAGCACAGGGACCAGGACTGACATCAATTGGTGGCCATTAACAATGCAAACTGTGTGTTTGTGTGTCTGCTGGATAAGAGTGCTGCAGGGCTGTAGGTTTACTTAAACATGGAAAACTAAAATGTATGCAAACATAAGACTGAGTGTGAGTGTAGGAGAGAGGGGTGAGGAAGGGAAATATGCAGAAGAGGCAGAAAAAGGCAGAGTGAGTGCGAGTGAGAGAAAGGGAGATAAAGAGATGCCCCAGTTCTCCATGAGCTAATACTAAAACCAACGTCAGACAGGATTTGTCATGCCTTTGTTATGGCTTGCCTGTATGATGTTGTATCCACATGAAATAGTATGTCTGTTTGTATGTATAGGCTAAGCTGATTGCAACAAACCTGTAACTTGCTTCAAGACTTGTGTGTGTTTGTGAATGTGTGTGTGCATCTGTTCTGGATGTGTGTCTAGACTAAACAGTGATGGTCTAAGCCTTTCATGGCTAGAATAGTAAGCAGATTTTTCTCTTAAATAGGAGAGGAGAGAAGCAAAGAGACACAACATTTACAGACCATTAACCACAAGTCCTCACCACACCATGCAATTCCTCAGAGCTATCATAAGTGAGTGTTACAATGAACTAAGTACATAAATGTGTGTTAATATGTGCATGTGTAGTCACATGAGCCCAGTGTGTTTAATCACTGGTTCATGTGTACATGTCTGTGCACATATGTAAAAACTGTAGTATCAGCAGTATCCCAGCCAGCAAATGAGTAAATATATTTCACCATTACATCAACACTATAAATACTACAAACAAGTAAACAACAGGGTTCAAAGCGAGGCAGACTAACATGTGTAGTCAGTCAAGTCATTTTGAAAAACTGGTGGTAATGCGTTTGTGGGTTCAGAAGTGGGGTAGACGACTTAGAGATTTGTGTCTGCCATGCTACAGGAAGTGGAGCTCACTGTAGACCGTCTTCTAGTAAACTTGACAATCATGGCGGATCCCATTTTGGTTTGCAAAAGTGTGTGTGGGTGTGTGTGTGCAGGAGTGAAACAGCTTACGGAGTTTGTGTTTGCATTGGATGACCAAGTGAGCTATGTGTATGAATGTGCCCTCTAGGAACCAGGGCAATTCCAGTAAAGTCTTTTGTGTATGTGTTGGTTTTATGTTTGTGTCTGTGTGTGCATCATGGTTAGACCACAGACTGGGCACTGTTCATGTGTCTGCATCACACGGGACAAGGACAAAGGGATAAAGCAAGCACTGGTGTCTTGTCATACATCATGTCTCCCTGTCCACTTCCTGTGGCTATGATAAAGTATAATTTCTGCCATGTTTACTGTACAGTAAGTGGCTGGTCTGGAGCCTAACCGGAGCCTATACTGCCTGTTTCTGCTAGTTGTGGGTAAGTCTAAGGGCAAATCATGTTGCACCCACCCAGTGGAGTAAAAGTATGGCACCAGGCTTCAGTGGCCATCAACGTCCCTTTTGTGGCAATACTGATGCTGTTGTGGTTCTTGGTGAATTAGGGGGTGAATTTTATGAGCCAAGAATGTCATTTAGGAGCAAACAAAAAGGGTGCTGGAAACTATTCTGAACTCCATGTGAAGTATTAAGCTTGACAGTTGGAGGCTGTTTTATCTGGGCCAACCAAACTACAACTGTCTACATTCATAGAAGTATCCAACTATGCAGTTTGGCTTAAAAAAAGCTTCCAACAAATGGTAATTATATTCAGACAGACAACTTCTAAAGTGGTTGTGGGGCATGACTATGTGGAACGGATGAATGGAAATAGGGAAAAGGCCGGATGCATAAAAAAAGGGGGAAATGTAACTCTGTGTGGTGGTTCTAGCAGATATCTGACTGTGTGTTCAAGACAGTCAGGTCAGGAAGATGGATTGAAGCATAGGAGGAGAAGGAATGTTAATTTGACAGTATGGACTACAGTTAAGTGTACATGACCTTGTTGAACTTGGCATTAAAATCTGTCTTGGGTGATCAGATCACAAGTGGACAGCTTTAAGTACAAGTGTAAACACACCCAAGACACATTAGGACACATTTGAATCAGATCACAGGGACCAGATTCTGATCACACATGGCCACATGCTTTTAGAAGTGTGAACACAAATGCATCTTGGGCCACATTAAAGGATCGCCTACTCAAATGATGTCCTTTGCCACGGTCTAATTAGTCCTGCTACAGTTTCATAATGAACTGAAAATATTTTACTATTTCAAATAGCTAAAACCATATTTCATTGTAGAGTTGTGCGCAGTGTAATTATTCACTCAGTCCCTCCTTGCCCTGCTCACTCACTCACTCACTCACTCACTCACTCACTCCCTCACTCACTCACTCACTCACTCACTCACGCACTCACACACTCACACACTCACACACTCACACACTCACACACTCACACACTCACACACTCACACACTCACACACTCACACACTCACACACTCACACACTCACACACTCACACACTCACACACTCACACACTCACACACTCACACACTCACACACTCACACACTCACACACTCACACACACACACACACACACACACACACTCGAAACAACAACACATACATGTTTATTTGCAAGCAAGGAAGTGAGATCTGATCACATTTGGTCACTCAAAACACATGTGGAGACAAATTCTAATGCCAGGTGTGAACTGACGTACTTAGAGCTGTCCACATGGGATCTGATCACCGAATTAGTATGTTATTGGCAGGTCTGAACTGGGCCAAAGTGTAAGTATCGACTGACTGGTACTGCCATAAGGCAGACAGGACTAACAAGCATCTGGCCACATGGACTGCAGAGAGAAAATAAGAGTTTAAATCAGTTGGCAATTAAAGGGCCTCTTGTGTGAAACAGTGACAATAACTATATCAGCAGGACTAGGCCTATACCTTCAAGAATAAAAGCTATTTGTTTCCTTGACAGAAAGTTGTATAGCTCTAAAATGAATTGTGGCTATCGATTAGGTCCCAGATGTCTACAGCAGGCAATATTTCTGATATGTGTTGCATACATGACTTGCTTGTGTACTGTGGACATAAATCTTACAGCAATGAATGGCTGGCATGGGAGCAGCAGCAGGCTACAAGCTGGAGAAGCAACAGCAGCACTGTTGAAAGAGTGAAACATGTAGCAGCAGGCTAGCTAGCTATCACACAGCCACAGCCAGATAAAACGGATGCACAGGAAAGACACCCTGGTCCCTGGACAAAACGTTTGTCTCTACTGTTGGAGACAGTAGGTCTGACCAACACATTTGTCTATCTGACTACATGTGCTAAGTACAGGATGTTCTGTATGTGCATACACCAAATCAAAATCAAAACAACTTTATTGTCTGCATTTGTTCACAACAAATAAATTCATCTTCACCTTTCATGACAATCAACATCAGATATTACAACACAGAAAAAACTAAAGAAAAACAAAAAAAGAGATGATAACATGGTTCACCCAACCACTGGATGGAGCCTCCCCATCACCTTTCACTATCAAGCCAGACTGGCACCTCAGGGTAAAGGCTTCAGTAAACATGCAGAGGGTGCATGAAGAGACCACACATCTTGACCTTTTTTCAGTGATTGTTCAAAGACATTGAGTCTGCACTTACACATACACAAACATAAACAGGTACTTACAGCCAGTGTCTTTCAGCCTGTTGATGGCACTGGACAAGAGGCGGACACAGCCCAGGAAACCTGCGCCCTGCTTTTTGTGGATCTTCTTGTGGTTCCATACACTGATGGTGATGGAGTCTGCCTTTCCAATATATCTGACGGGGCAAGACAGGGAGTGAAAAATAACAAGTCAATAAGACAGAAAAGAGGACTGATGGCAAAGTGAAAAGTAGCTTGCAGTGTTGTTATTATGCATATAATTTCAAATGATCCAGTGAGACATGGTGTATGCCTGTGTGCATATTGCAGGAGGGCTCAGACCTCTAAGAACTATTTTTTTAATCAATTGACAGGAAATGAAACTTGGAAATGAAATTAACTCATAAGCTAAAACAAACTTGTACTCAAAAAAGTTTCCAATACATTAACACACGCTAAGTAAAAATAAACAAAAAATTTTAAACCTCTATTTTGCATGTCTTATTAGCTACTTCTCCCTGACAGCATGAGAACAATGCACACAGTGTTTGCAGTGTAAACTTTCAGACTGTGTAATGAGGCAGATTAGTTGATTTTAAAGTAACTTCTGTGTATGTGCTTGTTTGTCTGCAGATTTAGCACAACTGAGGCCAGTCTAGTCTTGGTTGAGGAACAGAGGAAGTCTCCGTGATGTACTCCACCACTTTCTTGACACCCAGACAGTTCTTGCAGTAAATACACAGAGTTCAACATTCAAATGCACAATCACACATTCATTGACACACACATAATTACAGCCTAGCAGTTGGCTCTGATGCAAAGCTCTATATTATATCACCTGCAAAGAGTGGGGTTTCCCTACTGAATACATCAAAATGTATAGGTTTAGTATTTAAGCCAAATCACAGAAGTTGGCAAATCGTTGTGCTGAAATTAAATTACAACCTGTGTGGGTTGTGGATCTTGTGTGTCCAGTGATTTAGTTTCTAGTTACAGTCTGAAAATCTGATCAGGAAGGAGAGTGGCTGCGTTGCAATCTTGGCACGTTCTCTTTGTCTCTCTAGGCAGATGCTGATCTGTTTTGTTGCACATGTTGATTAGTATTATGTTGATATGACCATTTAACACTATTTGATGACAAATGGATAGAAGAACACACTGATTTCTGCCACGATAGCTTAAATCTTCTCCTCCAATAAAGGTGAGTTAATTAAAAGCTTATTTACCAAGAAGTGGGTACTTGACTAGAAACCACTGGAGGTAAGCTGTGCCAAATTCTCTATCTTAGTATATACTTTGATTAGACTAATATTTACTAAGCTCATCCTTGATTAGGAAGTTCTTCTTATCTTGGAACAACAAATGTACTAAGCACTGTACTATTATGTTTCAATGTGTTTCACTGCATTTTGTGTGCTGTGATGCCACTCAAATCATCTCTCTGCAGAAATTATAGTTTTCTAAGTTTAATCTTGTGTTCCTGCTTTCACACAGTGTTGTTGTGAGGTTAAAATGTAAGTGTGATGCAGAGGTGTGAAGCAAAAAAAAAAAGGAGAACTGAAATAGCAGTGACAATGACAAGAGAACAGGTAGACCAATATGTTATTTCCTCACTCACAACCGCAGAGCCAAACAGTGTTAGGACAGTGCCATTATATAACATTGCAGGTACTAAGGTAATTGTTATTGGTGGTGATGGGTCAGCTAAAACTACAGTAAACTTTCAGCAATGATTAATATCTGGACACAGTATAACTACAGACTGAAGTGAATGTGACTCCCCGTCTTCTGTAGATGGTTGTTGGCAACAAAGGACTGCTGTCTGCACATGTGATAACATCTCAGCTGCTAGATGACAACAAAGATATTAAAAAATAAAATACTCCTTAAGGATTAACCTGCATATTATGTAAAATGTATTGAGAACCATTAAAGTAAGTCTCACACACACACACACACACACACACACAACTAGGTGGTTACAGCAGCAACAAAAATAAGGGTAAGCATTCCTAATCCTAAAGACAACAGCACTGGAGGGGAAAAAATTCTTGGGCCATATTCAGATTAGCTTTCCAGACCTGCAAGATTCCCCCCAACTTTTTTTTGCCAGGGAACATACATTACAATGGGAAATTTAAAATATTATTTCTTTCCAGATTGGATATATTTTATATTAATATTGGACAGCCTTCAGTTGTTAACATCTATAAAGAAAAAAATAAATCAGAGTGGAGATTCTACAGCTCTGGCTTGTCCATATCAAGTACCTTGATCTGATTTATGTAGCTTGAGTTGATGCCAAAGCATTCTTCCTTACTTCCCTCAAAACTTACTGTTACCATACTCTTACATTCACCCAGTACCTCAGTTTAGTTCTCTTCTTCCACTTTTGGACATACGCTTTCACAGACTTTCGTTGCCTCTCAAAATGGAAAATTGGGGGGATTTAAGAAAAAAACATCACTTACAGAGTACAATAAGTTCTGGGTGCAATGCAGGCACATGTGGCATAAGTGCCTGTTGAAGTTGGCTGAACCTTTGCTGTCATTCACAGACAAAGACAAAATACTATACAGTATACAATCAAAACTATTCCAAGTTCTAAACATAAAGACATTTGCTTTCCATTAACACTGACTTCCATGTCAGCTCATACTTTAACTGTGCCAACTCACTGCAGACAGGAATGAAGCAGAGACAAATCTTCCCCAGCTTAAACCACTAATCAAAAAGTGAGTAACCCCATACATTGATTGGTAAACTGGGGGTGGGAATGTATGCCATACAGAAGTACAAGGCTTGTAGTAGGTAGGATGTGATAAAGAGAGTCAATACGGCAACTACTGTCAACGTATTTTTAACGTGGATGGCCACAAGGACAGTAAAAACTCACTGTAGCCGTGCTATTGGCAAGTTCAGCATTTCTGGGGGAAAAAGACAAATAAAAACAAATCTTGCTCAGGCAGGATGTGTGAAGACTGGTAAGGTAACACAGGCTCTCATGAGGGAACAGGGTTTGTACAGCACATGTACAGCAGTTAATATAGAGTGAAAGCTGAGGGAGCAACTAAAGCAATGTGAGGGGTTGTACTGAAAAGGCAGAAAACTGAGGGCAAAACATGAGGAGGAAACCTGCCAAAACCAGACCTACGTACTACTACGAGTTCATGAACTTTCAACACTTAGAAATGTTTTTGATAAATTTGGCTTGGTCAATGTACCCTCAAACATCTTCTGCCATCAACTGTAGTATTTTTGTAAGGTATTTAGGATGCGCAGTATAGGGCAACAAAGCCCCTGGCAGTATTAGTGTCATGTGGGAAAAGACCCCACCTCCTAAAGCTGGCGGCTCAAGACAGGGGGTGTGGTGAGCTGGCAATCTGCCAAGCCCACACTCCCATCTGCTTTCTGTGGCATGTTAGCCATTTCCTGAACCAGAGGAAGAGGCCAGGGTCGCTGGCGGGGAACACACTTCTCCGAGAGGGTGGGGATTCAGTAGGGGGAAGAGAATTATGTAAAAGAGGGAGGGGATCTGAGGTTGAAGTTGACAGGCGAGAAGAAGCATTGCAAAACAGGTGTGTGTTTGAAAATGAACGTGTGTGACCAGAGCTGTAGTTACATGCAAATTATCAAGACACAAGCACAGTCACATGTGCATTTTAAAACATACTGCATATATTCCTCCACAACTGTGGAAGAAGAAGGATTATAAATAGGACTGCTAACAATTAATTTCACAATCAATTAATCTACTTGTTATTTTATCATTGAATTTCTAAGCCTATAAAATGTCAGGAAACAGTGAAAAAAGTCCATCTCCGGGTTCCAAGGTAACAACTTCAGATGTCTTGTTTTTTCTGACCAACAGTCCAAAACCAGATATTCAGTTTACTATCACAAAAGACTAAGAAAACCAGGTCAGATTCCTCTTCAGATTTATTGATCATCAAACATTGTTGCCTATTCATCATCTGGTGAACGACTATCGTGGCAGCTCTAATTATAGTATCATATTTGCTGCCTTTTTTCCTGAATGATTGGCCAAGATATCTACTGTCATACATATTTTCACCTTGTCACTATTCACTTTCCTTCTTTTGTAATTCTTCATTTGCCATTCCTTTCATGGTTCTTTCTCTTTAACTCTTTACATCTGGCTTCCTTTTCCCTCGATCCTTCCTCTCTTTCCACCGCTTCCTTCCATCTCTCACCACAACATAAGCTCAGTTGCCAGTGGGTCCTTTGGGTCCTGTGGGGTGATCACTCCTTGTAACAGCCTGTCGACACAGACCTCAGTACAGGGAACATTCACACCACACAGCCTCAATGAAATACTGAAGTATATAGTTTAATACAGGCACTTGTGGAGTGTTATGCTCATCCTGCTCTAGCCATTTTGGGTTCTGAGGTCAGTGGACAATATAATGACCACATTTTGCTTTAATTCTACAATAGCCTGCAAGTATGAGAACCTTTTTCCTCATGTATCCCTTCTGGTTTCTTTGACCACTGCATTATTAATAGATTTTATCTGAAATGCAAATGATTTGCATTTACATTTCTGAGACTGAAAGAGAAGGGAGAGCTTCCTTGATAGAAAACAAAACGTCTCAAGAGGCATAAGTGACTCACCCTGAAAGAGATTATAAAAATAAAGTAGTTCTCTGAATAAGTGTGATAGTTATACAAATTAATTGTTCAGGAGTGCAAAATGCACGCTCCATTACCCAAAATAGGCAGAATCTGTTATTTGAGAATTCATATCAGTACGAGTTGTGTTTTCCACTAGAAAACTCCTGGTATGGAATGTCTAAAATCTCAATCATGTTCACATGTACAGCGTCTCCAAAGGTTTATAGATGGGTGTTTCTACACACAGAAACAAATCTACATTCCTGAAACACTTGTCATGGCAGTTGCACACAGAGACATACTAGAGGGCAAAACCAGAATACAACACTTCTGAGACAACTATTGTTTCTGTATCAAGGTGGTGCTTACTCTGCGCGCACACACACACACACACACACACACACACACACACACACACACACACACACACACACACACACACACACTATCTGTTTCTTAATGAGGCATAAGTGGCATACAGCAACATGTCACAACTACTCCATAGCACTCCTGCTGACTTACAGATCATAATGTTGATTCCACTTTGGGTCCAGCGTATTTCTCACAGTATCTGTAGAGTGGCATTGTCCTGAACCGTCCACCACCACTTTGGCAAAGGGATCTGGCAACCCTGTAAAAGTAGACGGCGACAAGTGAAGTGGTTTTGTTTAGCATGTGTACAAACCTAGTAAAATCACCAATAGCCCTTAAATGGAGGAAACAATGTGTGTGACATGTTCAACCGCTTTTCTGACCCATTTATGAGATTGCAGTCACAAGTTTATCTCTGGTAGTCACCATTAATAGAGAATTGAGTTGGTAACTGTATTTGCATACACTTAACTCACAACCATAAAATTACACACAATTTCTTTACTTATAAGTACCTATTAAAGTTACTTTTCAGTTCTCCCTGCAAGCTCTCTTGCTTTATTAAGACTAATGGGAGAGTCTGTTAAACGCTGTCAAACATTAAATTTGATTTACATCTCTAACAGAAAAACTTATTATTGAGCAAAGCCAAGTGGTGCCTGACCTGAATTCATCTCAAGTTGGGATGAAGGTCATGAAACTTGGTCAATGGTCCATTCAGACTGACTGTAGACGCACATTTTACTGTGTCAGCCCAAGAGGGCTGTGAACTCTAGAAAGAAAACTACTGGTCTAATGAAACAAGCATCTTGTTCTGTGGACTTTGGTTTTTTGTCAATGTAACTAACATTATCAAAGCTTATTTCAGGACAGGCTGGTTAAACAGGTTGGTCATATATAAGAGTATTTTTCGGACCCCTTGTACTTTATCTGATTATTTGAAAAATAGGAATAGAAGTTATCTAAAGATGACAAGCGAGTACTGTTAAGAAAATGTTCTCCTCTATGAATCCCTTGTGTGAAACATTTACACAGCAAAGAGAGGGAGTCTTTCACAGTATCTTATTAAGGGTGGAAATCAGATAAGTGATTCTTCTTAGTGTGTTTATCTAGAATTTTCTTTTGTTGGTGCGTGTGGCTGAGCATGTGTGTATGTGTATTTTAAATGTGTCAGAGTATACACCTCCTGGCACCGATACTTCACACAAGTCAAACCTGTTCAGTCACCCTTATTCTGTCCTGGGACTTCCCTGTCTGTGGTTGTGTGCTTTTGTGTGTTAGTGCGTGTTAGACAAAAATGAACCACCTATTGTCTGTATCCATGACTTCCAGGTTAATGGAGAACCAACCCACTGGGTAAACACCCTGCTACTGTTGCAATTAAGTACTTTTACCATGGCCATAACAGGCAATTAAGGTAAATGATATGAGTTGGAAAAAGGTATCCTTTTGTGAAACTGTCTCATCAGAGGATCTAAATAATACATCACCTCTGACATTAATGCTAGCGGCAGAGAATGGCCGTCTGTTCTGATTACCTAAACAGAGATTGATGAAAAGGCCTAAAGCTAAACATTATTAACTGTAAATAAGTAACCTCAAAGAAACTAAGTACAAGCTCATCCCTCCAATACTCACTAAGTGTCTTCTCTATATTCGCATTAGCTTGTGATCTAATAGAAAGCTTATAAAATTGATGATTTTAAGTAGTTATGACATTTTTAAAACAAAATGCAAATCCGAGTTTAAAATGTCTTTTTGTCTTTAAACTGAAATTTGCATGTATTCTCTTGTAATTGCCATTTCGCCTCGGTCATGGGCTGGACTAAATAAAGTGTCATTTCAGTCCAGTTCTATTAAAGCCTTTTTAATTAAGTCTAGTGCTTCCGTGCCAGTGGACCTGGTATCTATTACCAGAAGTTAGGTTAGCGGTGGGTCCCTGTGCGTGCCAGGCCTCCTGCTGTGTATAACAGACAGACAGCTCCTAAGGGACTTCATTTACAGCATGGCTTCAAAAGCCAGCAAGCTGCCACTGCTGACAAAGCCCATTCTAATGCACAAGGGGGGGAATGGGACAAGAATAGCAACACGTAAAAATAGGCTTTACTTACGGAAGAAGTCTTTCTTTGCCAGGTTCTTTGCACAAAGGACTGGAAGAGAAGAAATGCAGAGAGATGTTAATGACAGGTTAAATATTAGATGTGTAAGAATTAAAAAAAAAAAAAGGCCACACACTGTTCAGACCTTGGAGGTCATCAAATATACAAATAATATTTACTCTAGAAAATTATACAGTATTTCAAATTAAAGAAAACAAAAGAAGAGCACTTCAAGAGTATGTGACATTACATCTTCCTTTATTCTTTATTTTCTATTTACATTATACACATCAGTAGCAGCAAATGTGTTTCACTCATCATCAGTGTGTCATGCAGCATGTTACTGCTATACTACACTTTCTGTCTGCTTATATAGCTGTTTTGTGCTTTCTTGACTCCTCACTTCCTTCTAGTGACATTACAATATCTCAAAAATATTCCTCTGTTTTAATATTATTTTACAATTACATTTGTAATGTGTAAATATCAGCCAACATTTTGATTAGGCTAACTGTTTCTCTCTGGTAATATCTCCAGTAAAAGCCCAACTTAAGATTTCATTATTTATCACTTTCTCTCTTAGCTGTAAAATTTGACACAGTTCCTTTCGGTAATTACTTCTGTCTTTTTGCAAACATATTGGTTTGTCCTTCCTCGCTGCCCCATTACAGGCCAGGAGACCAGTTTTGAGAGTTTCTCCTTGTAAAATATTGAGTAGACAAGCACCGTTTCCTGTATGAAGCAAGTCCCTGGGAGTATGCATCACAGACAACATACAATGGCTTTCAGCAGAGACAGAGAAAGAAAGACAGCAAGTCTGTGTTTGAGTTTGTTCTGTTCTTGTCTTTTTTATTTCCCTCCCCAAATGTCTCCCTCATGGTGTGTTGTAGGGCCTAGGTGAACTGAAGCAGACTAGTGCTTTCTTTGGAGCTGGCTAGACAATCCTGTGACAGTTATGGAGTGAGACAAAGTAGGCCAAGCATCAACATTCAAGAGCAATGGCAGAGAAAACTCACACAATGAATATAACAAAAACAACAGTGACCTTAAGACACGAGAAAGGGAGTTTAATAAGCATTGTGGACTGTCAGCAGACAGACCAAGGGTCTAATCACTTGTTTGTCAGTGAGCTAGAGGTGGTACTAAGCTCTAAGCAAAGAGACAGAAAAAAGGGGTCAAGATAAACTCACACAAACTGTTCAATCTTTCTGCAAGTGCTTCCATCCATCCATCCATTTTCTATAATCACTGCTTTCCATTAATGGCCATGAGCTGGTACTTCCAATTGATTATTATTACTACAGGTACATGTGACCGCTTTCTTTTCCAACCATATCATGGCCATAGACACCAGGCAAATGAGTACCTGCCTTATTCGATATTCGATGGTTGTTAAACAAAAGACGTAGATCCTCTGCAGTGCCTACGCAGCTCAATGGGCTGTAAAGTGATATTACATCAGCCTGAAAATTGGAAATCAAGATGTACATCTTTGACATGCATTAGCCTTATTTAGACATAAGATAAGGGCTATGAATATTCTATGTAACAGAAAGTCACTGAGCTCAATCAACTTTTTGTCCATCATGACACAGGCATAATGTAGTCTGACTGGCTTCATATAAGTAATGTATTATAAGTAAAATGTATTCACTACTTCATTCTGCAAAACACTAGCCTCGTTAATTTAAAAATCATGTCAGCAAACAGAAAACAGGTTACGTTAGCCCACAGTGTAACAAAAAACATGGCTGGAATCTCAACTATGTGTCCTACAAAGACAATTCATTACAAAACCTCCTTGTCGTATCAGAGTAGAGATGTCACAAGAACCAATCAGTCCCAAGTCAATGCCAAATGTCTGAGAGCAGTACTTGTTTTTCTACAGTACCGTAGGTGTTGTAGGTAGTGGAGATGTGATTCTTCCAGGACTGACGAGGGCAGTACAGTAAATCTACAAGCATTCTAGTGTGACGTCCAGTAAACAATAATAACAACATGTGGAATGGCAATATCAAGTGCGGGACTTCTGGAGTAAATTTAAAAAAAAACACTCCAAGACTGGTGTATGGAGATATTTTGTATTTGACGTAGATCATCTGGGACATGTTTTGGACAACCAAAAGCCAGTATGCAAATGGTGCCACAGAGCATTTCAAATGAAAGAAGGAAACACACCATAAGCGTGTTTAGGCTAACATAGCGAGAGCTTATAACGTGAGCTGGGTGCTCACAACATCATCAGCTACAGTCATTACTGTTCAGTCTGTCAAAATATAAAATTGACTTTTTAAATAAATATTTTCACACAACGTGTCTGTCAGCTTGTTAGTCAATTTAAACTACTGCTTGCACACTAACTAAGTGGAGGTGTGTGCATGTGCATGTATGTGTGCGTGCGTGCAGGCACTGTTGTTTTCTGTGTTTTGCTGTGGTATCACATTTGGTATTGAGAATCGTTTAGTTGGTATAGGCACTGACAACCAAATTTCTGGTATCGTGACATTCCTATATCAGAGGCTTTGTTATTATCGCATCTTTCAAACACATGAAGCAAAAACAGTTGTGTTGGGCACATCATGTACATAGCTTACACAACAGATCACGTCAAATTGTGTGATTCTGTCACGAAGGAGAAACAAGCAACACTTTCATAAAATATATGGACAGGTCTGGGAAACCAACCTCACATTACACCCATTCAATGTGGAGACCTTGACAGTGACCAAAATGACACAGTCAGACACATCAGACAGAATCACAACATGGGAACAGACGATCTCAACAGAAACCAAATTACACTGACTGGGCCAACTGAATGAACACTAACCATCAGCTTGTCAGGGGAAATTACACTGCCAAAGCCGACAGTATGGGCACAGGCCAAATCAGAGGCAGCCAGAAAAACCTCCTGTGGGACTAAACGGACACCATGTTGTTGGCAGACAGGAGAAAAACAGGAGAAACAGAGTCCTGAAATCTTGGCGGAACATTTGTGGGCAGAGAATCTCAGAAACAAAATCAGCCACCAAAGTTTAAATAGGTCATTTTCCTTAGCCTAAACAGTGTCTTGTCTTAAATATCTATGTATAAACCTATTTTGTACACATGGATTCCAGGGTATAATAGTATCAGATGTTTAATGATACCAAAATGTTGTGATTGAGTAAATCTGAGCTCATTCTGTGAAACTGGGTGACAAAGAGCATGGCTTTAATTCATTTCTGATATAAACTGCAATAACCAGAGGCTCCAGGAAATGACAAACTGCTCCTAAATCAGTGTATTTATGGTTGATTTCCTGACATTACTCACGCTGAGAAACCTGAATCCCACAGTATGACATTTAGCATACTTGACAAAGGCCTTAATTTTTTGGAGACTAAACAGGGATTGGCTTTAGAGTAGAATGATATTATCATGAGAATATTAAATTCAGATAAGATTTTAACTCTAGCCAACTATATTTCTTTGTTCAACTCTATGGCAACGGAATATGCTCAGTCTTGTCTCAAAAAAGCCTAAATTACTAGCCTCATATTCAGACTTAACTGCTATGCCATCTCACTTCATTCATTCAAAAGAGTCAATGAGCAAACTGAGGATGTGGACGGTAATTTAGAGGTAAAAAAAACCCAGACTATTAAACAATCCCAATACTTCTGATAAATGTACAGTTGATGCGCTGTGGATGCTCACCACACTCAAGAGCCAAAACTGGTAAGTAGCCACCATGCTGAACTGAATGTACTTGGCTCTCTGGTTACCAAACTATGCTAATGAAGATTAAGGGATTAACCTGCACTCTGCTCCGCTGTCTCAGCCACAATTACCACAGAGAGAAAAGCCTCTCTCATTGTTATCAATTGCCTCTCACCAACTGTGCTGCCAGGCACAGCAGGCTGCTGCTACTGATGATGATGAATAGGTTCATAAATTACACAATGAAGCAGTAATGACAAAGTTTTAGATAAAAACAGTCAGCAATGTTTTATGATTTGGGAACCACAAAAATTGTGCTGAAAAAAAATTCCCAGTTCTACAAGGTACATCATGAACTTACTGATGACTTTCTAAATTAGAGCTAAATTAGTCTGTCTAAAAAAAAAGCAAGGCACCAAGCTACTGAGCATATCATCAGCATGTATGTCACAACAAAGTTTGAGATAAAGCCACTCTCAGGTGTGTGTGCATCTATTAGCATTAGGGCTGACACTAAAAATTACTTTCATTATAGATTAATCCGAAGATTATTCTCTCAATTAATCATTTTGTCTATAAAATGTCTGAAACGAGTGAAAAATGCCAGTTATAATTTCCCAAAACTCAAAAAGATGTATTGAAAATGCTTGTTTTATTCAATCAACAGTCCAATACCCAGGGATATTCAGTTTACGGTCATATATGACAAAGAAAAGCAACATGTCATCACATTTGAGAAGCTGGAACCATTGAATGTTTGCTTGAAAAATTAAATGATTAATCAATTATCAAATAGTTGCTGTACAATGTTCCGTTGATTTGTACTTGCTTGTACTTTACACAAGACGTCTGCATTATAGACGGACTGATGGAAGTGCAACTGAAGAAATCACTGGCTTTGCGTGTTACAAAGCTCCAGCAGTGAACTGAAATAGCTAAAGCATTGCAATGAATACTGTGAGAAAGTGCAGAGGGAAATTAAAAACAGAGAAGAAATAAAAAATAGGTTGTGTTTGTTCTAATTGCCATCTAAAACTGAGTTGGATAGCGAACAAAGGGAAATGGAAGTTATCGCTTCTGAGAAACTGTAAAATATAATTTTTTCAAGCCTTAGTTTAGCTTCCAAAAAAATGATTTAAGTAGTTTATAATGGTCTCTAAACTAATACAGAAGATTATACAGGGTGCATATATGTTATTAACAAAGCAAAGAAGTGGACTAAATACAATGTAATGTATTTGTGAGACCTTTTTTCAATTACCCTGTGTCAGAGCATTCATATAGGGTTCTTAGACTTTGCATATTTGGAAAACAAAGATGGTCTGAGAAATTTTCTGAAAACCTTTATT